GCCGGGAGGGCGTGTCACCTGCTCTGGCGACTTGTTGATTCCCGGGAGCGCCCTGTCTGAGGTCGGAACCCGAGACCCAGGAGGAGCAGGCTCCCGGGGCCCCAGGCGGCCCCAGCCCCCAGCCATGAGCAAGTTGGGCAAGTTCTTTAAACGGGGGGGCTCTGCTAAGAGCCGCGCGGCCCCCACTCCCCAGGAGGCCCTGGCCCGACTTCGGGAGACGGAGGAGATGCTGGGCAAGAAGCAGGAGTACCTGGAAAACCGCATCCACAGAGAGCTCAGCCTGGCCAAGAAGCACGGCACGCACAACAAGCGAGGTAGGCTCCGGCCGGCCGCGGGCGCGGGCTCCCACCTCCTGCCTCCGGCGCTGGCTTGGGGACAGGCTGGTCCGGCCACTGCGCCTGCCCCCACCCCCTCCTGCACCCGCCCTGGGCCGCCAGGTGCGCTCCCCGGGCCTTTCTAGGAACTGGCGCTGCCCCCCAGCGCTGGGGCTGCAGGGAGCTGGACGGCAGGGGGACCAAGATGAACAGTATTTGTAGGCAATATTTTAAAACTCAAAATAAACTCAAAATATTCATGATGAACAAATTATCAATATTTTAAATAAAGACAGGATTGGTATTATTAATTCCCCCTCCCCTCGGATTCTGGCTCTTATGGATTGTACACAGCACTTCTTTATTTTAAGTTCTTTTTTTTTTTTAATGTGATATTTTGTTCAAAGTGGATTTTTTTTTATTCATTTTGAGTTTTAAATATACAGCATGAAAATGTTATCTATCTCGATTACTGAAATTTTTGGCAGCCCCTTAAATTTTGCTCCTGGCCGGCTGCACCCCAGTCCAGCCCCACTGACCTCAACACTAAATATCAGGTTTTCTACTACGTGTCTGTATGTTGAATCACACATTTCAACTTGCATGTAAATCTCCAGTGAAGTACATTCTAGTAAGTTCTGGTTTACCCGGTGCCTCAGCTGTTGGAGACTTTAGTCGGCTGTTGTGCAGTTGAGACATTATAACAACAACAAAAAGTCAGGGAATTAATTATTAAATTTCCTATCACTGGTTTTTGCCACCCTCAAGGGACTTTGAGTCAATAGCGATACTTAGCATTTTTATTGCACCTTGAACTCTTTATTCTTTGCCAAGGTTAATTGGTTTCTTCCGTGTACAGCCCTCTCTATAGAGAACAGATCTAAACAGCACTCATGAAACTTACAAAACCCGGTGAGAAGTTGAAGGGATTTGCTCTTGTATCTCGAGGTCAGTGGCAGACTCAGAAATGGAAGTGGCCACACAGGACTCTCCTCACCGCCAAACCCTGAACTTGCCTCCTTAAGTCATAAAGAACCTTGGGAGATGGAGCGCCCCTCCCCTACCCCAGTGGTGCTGCCCCCGTTAAACACAGGAAAGGCGCGATGTTCCCTGGAGTTGACCTCCGAGACCCTGCTGCGTCCATAAAAATGCTACTGACACATTTGTGCCCACTTATTACCAACAATAAGAAGGCCAAGTTTCATTTTTCTCTGCCGCTGCGTCTAACTTTTGACCATATTATAGTCTGTTTTCGAGTAAAGTGCTTGTTTCTATTTTTACTTTATGCCTGAAAATATTTTTGGAGGTTATTAAATGGCAATTTCTACAGAGAGACTATGCCAGCGGAGCTTCTGAAAACTCATCGGCCACTTCTCTCCAGTGTGATATGTACCTAACATTTTCCTTAGTGCCAGTCAAGTGTTTTCTTTTTTTTTGTTTTGCTATCCATTTGGATCTGCAGAAAGCTTTTTCTACAGTGGTTGCTCAGTAAATATTGGTTTTTAAAATTCTGAAAAAATTGAATATCTGCTTCTAGGAAGTGGTAAAAACATAGATTTGCTTTCAGACACAAAAATGTAAAATAAATATAGCAATGTTCTCCAATTGGCAATGCACTAAAGTGTATACGAGTAGCTATGTTAAAGACACCAAAAATATTAAAGACAACACTAACTAAGAGTATCAGCCTAACTTCCTCAAATCAGAGAAGTTACAGAGAGGTGCCAGTATCAAGTGCAAATTATCAGTTGGGGTCAGAAAGCCATTTACTCTTTGTCATTTATCCTTGAGAACTTTATTGGTGTGATCCCAGCCCTGGTTCTACAGTAGCCTTGGGAATAGGAAGAGGCTGGTTAGCATGAGATGATCTGTAATCTGAACTATGGAAAGAATTCAGACCGTGCTTTGAAAACATTGTTAATTTCATCATCACCAAATGAATCAGATAACTTCATATACACATAGTTACAGGCTTCCATTAGCCACCAGGAAATATTTTCACACACATAATAAGGCCCAGTATACTTGGCACTAAATGGACCTTGTGTAACTCCATGTCATGGCTGTAATTTACATGATAACAGAGTGAGAGGTGGCTGGCCAGCTGACACGGTGTCAAGAAAATTAGTTGAGTGGCCAGCTAGTATTATACGAGAAAGCACCACACTCCTGGCCAGTACAAATTCTTCAGCAGTCTATCTCTCTACAATGACAGAAGTCTTAAGAGCACTCTGAATGTCAAAATGGGTTTTCTTGGTAAAATGACAAACTAGCATAATAAATGGGAGAAATGGGGGGGGGAGAAAAGAAGCCAGATTAATTGAATATGGGGGGGAAATGGGAGAAATAGGTCTCACTGGGGAAGTTGTGGGTGTTCTGAACTTGTGGACTGGCGAAAATAGTTCAGAAACCCTTCCTTGCTCCCCACGTGAGAGCAGGTGATAACGATGTGCTGGATGCACAGCTAAGTTATCATTAGGGTGGTTCCTGAGGCTCCACCTCAACGCAAAGCCCTGTCCAGTCCTGGGCTCAGGCGGGCCTCTGACGGAGCGCACCTCCCACAGGGCACACAGCACCCCACCAGGTGACTGCGCCGTGTCTTCAGTGAGCCTTTCACTCACGGCGTATTGAACCTAAAGAGACAGAGCTAGGACTTCACCGAGCTCATGGAACAGGCTGGCGAAATGCTTTTTGCCTGTCGGCCAGTGTATGTTTATTTAATAAGTGTATCTGCAGAACCTAGTCTGAGACGTGCCTTCTCAGTAGCGCGTAGCAAGATTGTGCCGTGGTAGCTAATTCTTCCCCCTTCAGGCTCCTTTGGCAGTTCCCACAATCTACCAGAAAGATCCTCAGTCTGCATCACCAAGCTGGTGCGAGGGCCGTGATACTCAAGGCCCTGCTGATCTAAAAGAGGAACGGGTTGGAGCAAGACTTGTAATTTGCTTAGAAACCAGAGGTCAGACATCCTCCAATGCAGTTTATTCAGATGACTATGCGGATCTCCTGCGTTATAGCTAGTAATCTGCTTGTGGAAAAGCAAACTTTAAATATCACTTAAAATTTTTCTACTCCTGCTGAGCACCATCATCGAGAGCAGTTTTCAGTCCTGGCTGTATATTAAAGGCCCCCTGAAGCCTGGATCCCACCCCCATGGATGCTGATATAAGTGGCTGAAGTGTGTCCTGGGGTAAGGATTAGGACCCTAAATCCATAGTCATGTTAATGAGGCAGAAGGACATGTCCCCAGTAGTCTTACCTGGCTTCCTCACCTCTTTCATAGCATGGCACCCATGGGTACTGATGATATTTGGATGCTTCACTGGCTGGTGGCCTCAGGAGCTGGGGGCAATCCTCCTGCCACATGGACTGATGGGACACCTTAAGGATCCCTGTTCTAACCTCCTGTATGAGTTTAAAATGTATATATAATGATATGATCAAGAGATTGTCATAGGGATCTTGCTTAAATATAATATCCTGGTCTAATTTTTTTCACCTTTGATAGAAAGTGACTTAGTGTTGTAGTTAAGAGCCTGGGCGTCCAAGCAGGCAGCCCTGCTCTGCCGTGTAGAAACTGGGTAACTCTAGATCACTTCCTTGACCTAATTCTCAGTTTCCTCATCTGCATAAGGGCAATGATAAGGTTGGTTCCAGAGTTGTGAGGATTAATGACATTATTGTGTGAAGCCCTTAATTCAGTCTTCTATAAATATCAGCCAATGTTATAACAGTAGCTTTTTTTGTAAAGCTGAAATTGGCTTCCTCTTAAGTTCCATTTATTGGCCCAAATTGTGTCTTGTGGAATGACAGGGAATAAAGCTACTCCACCTGGGTGACATGAAGACTGTTTACATATGAGGACGGCAGTCACACCTCCAAGTTTCGGGTTCACACCCCACCTTTTCAGCTTCCTCAGTTACCTCTTCCTGGGCTGAACTTTCCTCCCCAGGCTGGGTCTAGGGCGAGGCCATTGAGACCCCTAGGCCCCCCTTTTGTGACCTGAGGGTGAATGTCCCCTCATTTCCCACCCCAGGTGCCTCTCTCTCCCTCACCCTCGGCCTGGTCTTGTTACTTGTCCCAGGCTGAGCAACAAATCCAAACCTGTCATTATGTGGAAAGGGTGTGTCCAGTCTGGGGTATCGTGGGCCTCAGGCTGTTGGGCTGATAGAGAAAAGAGGTTGGGACAGGAAAGAAGCAAGTTTGGCCCAAACCTCTGGTGCTGAGGCCACTCCACCTCTAGATCAGGGTCTGTTCAGTGAGTGACACCCCAAGGCAGAGTTATTTGAGTAAGAGGCCACTCTGTAGCCTGGGCATTTTGTTGGCAAAGGTGAACTCGCTTTCAGGGTTGTGGCTCAGATGCCGCCATCCTGGGAGCAGTGTGTGCACAGCCCTGTGGGCATATCTCAGTGCTGGAAACTCTTTGGGCTCTTGAGTTTGCTTTTTACTGTCATTGTCAGGGAGGTGAATTCTGCAATATGGGACACTGGGGACCTGAGGACTTCTGTGTGAAGAGAACCACGTCTGTGTCGGTTAGTTCAGTGCCAATGCGGTAAGGGCAGGAGAGTGGCTCAGGTGACGAGGCAGACCCAGACTGCAGGTCCCCAAGGACAAAATGCCCCTGGGAGAGATCACTTACCTGGTGACCTCCTTTCTTAAGAGAGTTGCTCAAAATGGGCTCCTCAGGTCACCTGCATCAGATGTCCTGGAGGGGGGTTGTTAAAATGTACAGCCGCAAGGAGCCCCTTAAAGTTCTGACTTCGTAGGTTGAGTACAAGGTCCAGAAATCTGGATTTTGAACAAGTGACTCCGTGGTTCTGATGAGCACTGCAGTGAGCGCCTGGCCTGTTTTCTTCCCGCTTCACTCCTGCTCCCTTCCTCCCCCCTCCCCCCCAGGCCTGGATGGGGAATATCTACCCTCCCCCTCTATTTATCAACAAAGGACCGTTTTGGAGTTTCTGAAGGGTCCTTCTTAGCCTCCTGAATGAGTTTTCTTTAGGGAG